GATGGCAAACCTATGGCACATGTGCCACAGCTGGCATGCAGAGCCCTTTCTGCAAGCACATGAGCCATAAGTCACTGGATCACTACCCTCCCCAAACCTGACAAGGCAGATACAGCGGTGGTGCTAGCGCTTCGACAGGTGGATCCAGAGCAGCTGACACTGGCGGCAGATCCGGAGTGGGGTCTCCAGCCACCTCCATGTCTGGGATTCCCCCCTTCCGCCACCATGTCCGGTTCCACCGCCACAGCACGCAGCCCGCTGGTTTTATTTTGGGTTTTTAAGGGTTTTTTTCCCCCCAGTTTGGACAGCCCGCTGGTTTTATTTTGGGTTTTTAAAGGTTTTTTTTCCCCAGTTTGGGCACGTGAGCCCAAAAAGGTTCACCGCCACTGGTGGCGGATTTTAGACCGCTGCACCTCATGCTTCATGTAGGGACAGCCAGGGTGGCGTAGCAGGTTCCCCTTACAACGGCCAGCCCCCCTTGCTCTCTTGGCCTTTTGTCACCCGCCACTTTTTGAAGGTTCCCCCAGGAGGGAAGGGCCCTCGACCTCTCTCGAAATCCCACCGAGCAGGGCTGCTGGCATTCCTAGAAATGTGGGTTCTGATGTCAACATTTCAACGACTCCCTCCCAACCTAGGGCAGCGAAGGAAAAAGAGGCCACAAGCTATTGCAAAACAGGCATACTGTACATTGGCAGGAATAAAGAATTTTTAAAAAATAATCTTGGCTTTCACCACTGATACTTACAAACATAAATTAAACCCATCAGCGTGAAGAACAGGATCAGTGCTGCTGTCATCAGTGCAAGAGCAAATATCTGCCACCAACTGACCCCCTCAGGAATACCTGGAGAGAAATATAATGGATTTATTTTAAGCAGTGTATCCTCTCTGTCAACAGATAGAGGGTGCGATTACACAGCAAGGAAAGGTGAATTCACTTGCTGTGAAGCTGCACTGAGGAATTCATTTATTTATTTGACTTTTATACCACCCATCTGACTGCAAGGCCACTGTAGGCGGCTTATGGCATAATAAAACAATAACATGGACAAAAATCAAACATAATGGCAACAAACAAACAAACCCCCAAATCAAAAATCAAAGTCAACATTACAATAAACAATACCAAATAACCGAAACAACATGAACTTCAACACAAATACCATTTGAGCTTCCTTGGGTTTGTTCACATTAACTGGCCACACAGGAAAAGAGGGGGGGAAAGCCTTGTTTGCAGCTTGTTAACGTGGATCTCTTATACCCCGTGTGACTCTAGTTTGCAGCTTGTTAGAACTACCTAAGAAGATGTAAACAAGAGTCACCAGGCAGGTTCCTCCTTTCTGTTCTTCTGATTTTATATGCAAAGTCGGCTGTGACTTGTGCCATAGGATGCGATTGCTGCTGACAACTTTTATTCTTCTCTGCTGTCCTTCGTCATAAAGGTAAAAAAAAAAACTGGCAGACATGGTTGCCTACCTGTATGCAATAGAATTAATTTGATACCTTATTATATACCTTAATATATACCTTATACCTTAATATATTTTGCTATAAACCTTTTTCTCTGCTCATGCCTCATTCACCCCAGGCTCTTTTCTGCTTGGTCATGAGAGCAAATTTGGAAAGAAATGGATCAATCATTTAAACCTTGTCCCCTACTCTAGCCTTGCCTTCAGAGATGACTCTAACTCTACATAGGCTATGGGGATGGCCTATGTATGGGACTGTAGTCTGAGATTTTGCATGAAAATCAGAATCTTAATTAGAAGGAAGAGGTTTTCTAGTCCTCAAGGGAGAAATGGAAGTAGGAAGAGAGAGAAATAGACCAAGGGGGTGCAGAACACAAACCACACCGGCCATGCGGATGCAAAGGTTGGTTTTCAAAACCACGTCCCTTTAGTCACGCTTAGGGATGGATGCCCCATGCCTATGCCAGAGGGTGGCCCAGCCACTACTTACTGGGTCGGGCCAGGATTTTGACCTGAACCTCCCGTTTGGGTTGGGGTTGAGGTTGGAGCTGATGGACGAGGCGTTCCATCTGGGGTTTTGGTCTGTCTCCATTTGTGTTGCTCAAGAAAGCCGGTCCTCTCCTGATATCCTCTGGCTTCTGGGGACCTTGGAGTTTCATTTTGAGAGACGGCCCCGGCAGGATTTCAGTTTGTGCCTTGGCCAGGAGGACTCTGTCCTTCATGGGATCCCGTGACATTTTTTTTGGGGTGTGTGTGTCTGTTTTCAGCAAGCTGTAAGAAAATCAGAAAGGAATATCTCTAACTGCCAAGTCCTTGGGTCACCCAACCGTTCAGATCTTTTGTAGAGACAGCTTCATGGCTCACGCACGAGATGGGTGGACCCCAGAGGGGTGACCCCAAATCTGAGCCCCAACTAGTTAGGTCATGGGGCAAAAACCACTAAGAGCACGGCTAGGTTGGGCCAGGTGGGAGAAGGATGATGGGAGCTTTTTCCTGGAGCCATCCTCCTATGACTGGAGACCGCCAGGTGCTCCTCACCTATGGAAAGACCCATGAGCAGCCCAAATCCCATTTCACAGCAGGATGATGGCTCCCCAAATCCTATAGCCAGCATTCCCTCTGCCCGTGGGGTTCTGGAAGTGGCGTCCTCCCCCAATTCAAAAAGGAAAGGGAAAAAATAAACCACCAAAAAAGCAAAAACAAGTTCCCCCAATCTGAGTCTCTGAATTACGGTAATTTTCATGAAAACATACGGTTCAGATGCAGATTATTAAAGGTGTGAAGATTTGTGGGGGGTTTTGGGGGGTGGGGGGAAGGTAGTCCAAAACAAACAAACAAACAAAAAACAAAACCCCACAACTCTCCACACCTCCAATGATTCCCAGTGGCTTTCCTCCTCGTTAGGGATAAATTACTCGGAACATTGTTATTCGTGGGGAAACAGCCTTTCCTTTTAAGATTTGCCTTGCTTTTAAAAAGATTTTTCCTGGACGTTAGTCCCCTGATTTGTTTATTTTTTTTTAGTTGTCTCAATTATTAAGGAAAAAAAAAGTTTGGCAGTCTCTCTGGGTACAAAAATATTAGTTTCGCCCCCCCCCCTCCTCGGGCTCATCAAGCATCCTAAATTGTTTCCAATGAAAAGTGTTCATGATCCATGTCTGGCCTGCGCCATCTAAAGCGGGATGGGTGTGTGTTTGTACAACACACACACACACACCCCAAAACCCCCATAAGTTTATTTATTAGGCGCTGGTGGCTTTTTGAAGAGCGGGGGGGGGAGAGGGAGAGAGAGAAAGACTGGCTGTATTTCGGCAGGACCCTTGGCGACCCTTCCTTTGAGTTTAAGGGCGTTCGAGGTGCCTTGTGGGAAGCCTAGTTCTCTGGTGGGAGGCGCCGAGGCCCAGGAGGGGAGCAGTCAAGGGGGAGAGAGGGAACTGTGACTCCCATCCGGCTCCAACCAAGGCCTGGTCTGAGGCCTACTCGGAAAGGGGTTCCGAAGCGGCCTCTCCCTGACAGAAATGCCCCCTCGGGCCTAATAAAAAAATACCCCGCTCTTCGGAGGGTGGGGGGAGGTCCGTGTTCAACGACCGCTTCTTTGGTTCAGAAATCTCGGGAGCCTCCGGGCGGACATTTTGGGCCACATCCTGCCCTCCCCCGTCCCAGGCCTCCTCCCTTGGCCTGGCAGGGCGAAGCAGCCTGGTTGACTGGACTTTGGGGCACGGCTGAAGGGGTCGCGCTTTGTGTTTCTTTATTATTTCTTAATTTAATTTAATTTTTTTCGAGGGGTGCCTCCAACAGCCTTGGGCAGCCAGCGGGCAGGGGTGTTTTTATTTTCTTTGGCCCGTTTGCGCCGTTTCTCACACGGGACCAGCCGGGACGGTGGACATGCCCAAGCCAATCCAAGTCCTTCCTGCTGAGGACTCGGCCAAGAAGACGCCCTCCGTGCACGGCCGTCCCTCGGATCCAGCAACCCCCTTAAGCGTCCGTCTTTCGAATGCAGCACCTTCCCTAAATGTCCCTCCCTCGGATCCAGCACCGGCCCTAAGCAGCCGTCCCTCCGATCCAGCAACCCCCCAAAGCAGCCGTCTTTCGAATGCAGCACCCTCCCTAAGCGTCCCTCCTTCGAATCCAGCACCCCCCCTAAGTGGCCGTCCCTCAAATCCAGCAACCCCCCAAAGCAGCCGTCTTTCGAATGCAACACCCTCCCTAAGCGTCCCTCCCTCAAATCTAGCAACCCCCTTAAGCGTCCGTCTTTCGAATGCAGCACCTTCCCTAAGCGGCCCTCCCTCGGATCCAGCACCCCCCCTAAGCAGCCGTACCTCAGATCCAGCAACCCCCCAAAGCAGCCATCTTTCGAATGCAGCACCCTCCATAAGCGTCCCTCCCTCGGATCCAGCACCCTCCCTAAAGGACCGCCTTTCGAATGCAGGACCCTCCCTAAATGCCCCTCCCTTGGATCCAGAACCCCCCCGAAGCGGCCGTCTTTCAAACGCAGCGCCCTCCCTAAGCGTCCCTCCCTCGGATCCAGCACCCCGCCGAAGTGGCCGTCTTTCGAATGCAGCACCCTCCCTAAGCGTCCCTCCCTCGGATGCAGCACCCCGCCGAAGCGGCCGTCTTTCGAATGCCCTCCCTAAGCGTCCCTCCCTCGGATGCAGCACCCTGCCGAAGTGGCCGTCTTTCGAATGCAGCACCCTCCCTAAGCGTCCCTCCCTCGGATGCAGCACCCTGCCGAAGTGGCCGTCTTTCGAATGCAGCACCCTCCCTAAGCGTCCCTCCCTCGGATCCAGCACCCCGCCGAAGCAGTCGTCTCTCGTATCCAGCACCCCCGCTAAGCAGCTGTCCCACTTCTTCCGAAGTGAAGCCCTCCCTGCAACCTGCTTCCTCAAAGAGGAGCCCCTTGGAGCCGAAGTCTTCTCTTGCTCCAGGATCACAGATCCCCGGTCCTGAGAGTAAGCATGCAAAGACCTGGAGCCAGCCTTTGCCCCAGTGGGCGGGCTGGAGGGTGGACGGGCAGGCAGAGGACCTTGGTTTATTTGGACAGTGCCGCTCAAGTGAAGCGGCCGACTGAGCCCTCCTAGCTGCAGCGGGACGGAGGCGTTGTCCTTTGTCTGCTTGGGGAGGCTGTTGGCAATGCTCAACCGCTGGTCCTTTGGAGGTTTCGGACTTCAGCTCCCAGAAAGCATGACCAGCAGGTCCAACCGTTACGGACACAGGGAGGCCCTAATGGCTTCTCTGAGTTCTTCCGAGCTACTTTTTCAATTAATGCCTCTGTAAAACAGATCATTTCTGGACGACCAGGCGGTTTAGAGCCATGGTTCTCCAACTGGGGTCCCCTGATGCTCTTGGACTACAATTCCCAGAAGCCTTCACCACTGTGCTGTACTGGCCAGGATTCCTGGGAACTGCAGTCCAAGAACATCTGGGGATCCCAGTTTGAGAACCATGGGTTTAGAGGGCAGTGTTGTTCCCTGTAATTCAAGGCCTCTTCCTTAAAGAGGCATAAAGAGATGTTATATATAGATACCCATCCTGAGACCTGAAAACATGCTAGTGTTGGAGAGACATCATTCAGGGAGACTTTGGGGTTTGAGAAGGCAGGCTTCAAGGGAAGCCTGTGGTTAAATGCTGAAGACCAATCGCAAAGCCAAGCCAGGCCTGGGGGAGAGGGTCATGGGAACCCACATGCCATCAGCCTTAACGGATTTATATCTTCTGATGTGTGGTTGTCTTTAAAGTCTTTAAAGAGTGGGTTGTCACTCACACCCTTGAAAGTGGCCATAGCATAGCCCAGGGATAATTATGCACGTTATCCAAAATCTAGGGCTTGACAACTCCACTTTAGAAAGATCTTGGAAAGCCAAGACTGGCCGGGGAGAAGCCTCTCCTTAAAAACTTTGGGGGCAGTCACTTTTCATCCCGATCCACAAACCACCTGGACTTCTGCCCACCTTCCAGCTGTGGAATTCTGATAAACAGACCAAGGTCCTGACTGTGTCTTTGTGGCAGTTCCAGGGTTCCTATAAAAGTGCTTCTTCATAACACACAGGGACCTTATTGCAGGTGGCCAGTGTCTTAACTTCTGTTATAAGGATACGTGGCTTGGAAATTCATGGGAAGAATGATACCTAAAGTGATGCTGTATGTTTAAAGGCAGTGTTAGGGGCTGCTGTGTGGGCGTGGGTTTTGCATGCACAGCTTCCAGTGGCATGGAGCTAGCCACTTTTTAAAGCAGGACGTGGCATTCCCATTGAGCTATTTAAGACATTACGTATGTAGCATCAGAAAGGACACGTCAGGCCAGGGTTGATTCCTCACAACTTTCTCCACTTCCTATCTCTTAGGGAAATTTGTTGACGTCACCATCGACTGGTTCTGTGCCACCACTGCCTTTCTGTTCATCTGTGCCATCCTTTCCCCCTTGGTGGTCATGATGCACGCACAAGGTAAATGAGCATTAGGAGAGGAACTGCACAAGTGCCTCGCTGTTAAAAAAACTAGATCATGGCCACTGGTCCCATCACCTCCTGGCAAATAGAAGGGGAAGAAATGGAGGCAGTGACAGATTTCACTTTCTTGGGCTCTATGATCACTGCAGATGAGCACAGCAGCCACGAAATTAAAAGACGCCTGCTTCTTGGGAGGAAAGCCATGACAAACCTTGACAGCATCTTAAAAAGCAGAGACCTCACCTTGCCGACAAAGATCCTCATGGTCAAAGCCATGGTTTTTCCGGTAGTGATGTATGGAAGTGAGAGCTGGACCTTAAAGAAGGCTGACCACCGAAGAATTGATGCTTTTGAATTGTGCTGGAGGAGACTCTTGAGAGTCCCCTGGACTGCAAAAGAACAAACCTATCCATTTTGAAGGAAATCAACCCTGAGTGCTCATTGGAAGGACAGATCCAATACTTTGGCCATCTCATGAGAAGAGAAGACTCCCTGGAAAAGACCCTGATGTTGGGAAAGTGTGAAGGCAAGGGGAGAAGGGGACGACAGAGGATGAGATGGTTGGACAGCGGCCAACGTGACTTTGACCCAACACCGGGAGGCAGTGGAAGACAGGAGGGCCTGGCGTGCTCTGGTCCAGGGGGGGCACGAAGAGTCGGACACAACTTAACAACTAAACAGTAGCAGTCATCATCTTAGAACTTTTATAGGACTGGTCTGCATGCAAGCTTTCTAGTAACAGAAAACAGACTTCCATGTGCCCTTCACCCCCTTATGACCAATCCTTTGGAAATGGCTCCCAGCTTTGGGTGATCCAGATATTCTTGGACTGCAATTCCCAGAAGTCTTCGTCACCACTTGTGCTGGCTAGGGTTTCTGGGAGTTGCAATTCAATGTTGGGAAATACTCTTTTGTTGTTGTTTAGTCGTTAAGTGATTTCCAACTCTTTGTGACCTCATGGACCAGAGCACGCCAGGCCCTCCTGTCTTGCACTGCCTCCCAGAACTACTCTACTAAGTTAATATGCTTATTATATTATATAATAAGCATATTAACTTTGGGGACTTAAGATTTTTGGAAGTTCAGAAGTCCAAATCCACCTTTCTTATGCTTTGGAGAACACAAGGAAGTTGGTGGAAGAACATAGAATGCGTAGATTCAATTTCTTCCCCTCTTTAAAATATCAGGGCATGTGGGGGTGCAAGGAAGCTGCCATTTAAACCAATCCCACAAATTGCTGCTTGAATTTTTTCTTTAAAGTGCAAAGGCCTTAGCAGACTTATTTTCCTAGTCATAGACCTTACTATGGAAGGGAAACCCCTTTGGTGATCAACGGTGGATGATGAGCATTTAGAAACTGGGCAATGAAATACAGAGGAATGTCAGTCATGGAAATGAAGGCATAGAAATAGAAGCACTGAGCAGACAAACACCTCTTCTTATGAACAGAAATACTGAAAATTAATATTTCCCTAACAGTAAATAATTTGGCCGGGGGAGGCTGTTCCCGCTCCGAATATTTTTCAGCTCTAATTTTGTCTGAGCATGGCTACAAAACCAGGGTTGCTGGGGGTGGGGGAACGGGATATCTTCCTTACCCATGGACACAAATGGCAAGGGTGGGTCCCTGTCTTCATGTTATTTATTCCATTTTGTCTGTACTATGTCCCTTCTTGAAGTGACCCGGCTGTCCAAGACGTCAGAGGCAGAGACCGAGGTGATTCAGGTGCGGATTCTCCTTTTGACCGAAGTTCTCCAGCAGCTCCAAATTGGCAAAGGTAATATAAATGTGACTAACAAGGGCAGATTAATGAGGTTCGTTAGACTCCATGCAGTAGGGATGAAAAATGTCTTGTGTTTGTTGAATATTTATTTATCGAATATTTATTTATTGGAGGGGGGAAAAACATGTGTAACCAAAAGTGTGTTGCTCAGATCCTGTGCAATTCAAGGGAGAGGTGTACTAAGAAAAGATTTACCCATTCCCTTCCACTTGGGGGCGCTGTGGGATGGTGCAGCTTGCCCAGGGCCACCCAGGCTGGCTCTACTCCCAGGTAGCCCCAGTGAGGGGAATCAAACTCTCAGTCTCTGGCCCTGTAGCTGGACAACTTTTTGGCAGTAACAAAATCCCAGGCAACAAGAGAATGCGGTTTCTCTTTAGGATCGTCCTGAACATGGAAATCCCACTGATAGGAAGTCAAGCCGGCTCCATCTTTATTGAGCTTCTGCCAGGCAGTCAAAACTGTAAGCTCCTCTCTAGCCTTTGGCTTTAAATAATGGCTTTCAAAGTGGTTTAAAATCTTTTTCAAAAGAATTTAAGGATGTATTTGGTGGGCACTGTAGAGCAGGAAACTGATTAATTCATAATCCTGAAAGATATAATAAGTACATAAATGAAAATATTCATTGGGATAATGGAAAGCTGACAGATTACTCCATTCCTACATTGTAGCTTGTGAAACCTCCAAGTATAACAATGAACATCTCTCCCTGCCCCTGCTCCCATAACATCCCCTACCTTAGTTAGGTGCACTCTCCTTCTCCAGAGCATTGACAGGAAGGAACCGTTTCCAAATTTTTGAAGCAACAAACAGTATCTTTACAGCAATAGTGCTCAACTGTGTTCTGGTGCACAACCCAAGGGGATAACTTTGGACCGCCGGTTTAGATGGTTCAGAAAGAAATGCAGAGAGCGGAGGTCAGCACTGTGAAAGGCCAGAGGTGGGAGCCCCCTGGCATTTTTGTGCAGATGCAAGCTGTCACTCTTCCTCTGTTTCCCTTTTCTCTTCAGCCCTTAGGTGCAGTGTGTGCCAAATCCACTGGCTGCAGCACGGAGACAACTGTTACCTCTTTAAAAGCAGGCAGATGAGCTGGATATCGACCATGGGCTTCTGTAAAGACGAGTCCTCCTCCCTGCTTGTTATCAAAAGCACAGAAGAGATGGTACGACTGGGTCATGGCTGGCTCGCAGCACCCGGGTGGATGGGAGAGTCTTGATCATGTCAGAGGGATCCCACCATAACTTGTAATATAGGTCCTGGGAGCAGCACCAATAAAGTATGCATTATCCACCAAACCACCAGGCATACCCAACCGGAGTAAACTGAGCAAATCGGAGGGATTCCTCTAAGTGTTGGCCTGGCAAGTCCTCCCCTTCAGTAAATGGATTTACTCTGGTTGGGACTAACTACTAGGTTAAGCCTTATATCCAGTAGTTAGTGGCACAGAACCAGCCGAAGGGGCGGCGGGGCTTCATATTTTAAAGGAGACGTACCGGAGCCCAAAATTTGGATCCCTGCATGGGAATTCTGCTGCTCACTCTGGAAAAAAGATCGACAGGTTGAGCAGAACACCTTTATTTTCACTGGTCTAGGACAAAGTACATACACAAATATGTACCTTATACTTTTAAAAAGAGAGAAAACACCTCGAGAGTATTTCCAGAGGGAGGTCCCCCTGCTCTCTCCACCTGTGTTCCTATCTCAGTGTGGTTTTATTATTGGAAAAACTTCACCCTACTGGGATCAATCTACTGTATTTTTTTCACACCGCTTTTGTTTCTTGCCCTTGCAAACACACCTTCAGCTCTTCTCCTTTTCTGTAGTCTCTCCCCCCCCTCCCCAATTTAATTCCAGGTGCCTTTCGAAACACACCTGTGAGCAGTTCCTGGTGCTGCCATTGTTACCTGGGGACGTCCTGTTTCCAATATTTTTCTTGCCTGACCACAGGGCTGGTTGCCATCCAGATTTTTTCCCATTCATTAGGTCACTCGAGATAGGAGTGGAGCGGCCCTGTGACCTCTAGTCAGAACAGTTCCTTTTTCCTCCCTTCTTCTCTTTGATTCTGTTTCACCACGGTGGGGGCCTTGCTCCGTCATGGGTGGCTCATTCGTTTTTTCGTTTGGTTTTTCCTCCTTTCTCAAAAGCTTCCTTTTCTCTGGTTAGCTTCTATCCCTCCTCTTGCTCCCCCACCCAGCTTCCCTGGGTTTAATTTTGCATTCCACTGGGCAATGGGGATTGTTCTATATCAGGAAAAACTTCCTCACTGTTAGAGCAGTAGGACAATAAAACCCATGACCTCGAGGGGAGGTAGTGGGCGCTCCCAACCCTGGAGGCCTTCAAGAGAAAATTAGAACTACCCTCTGTTCGATCTGCTTGGATTTGGATTCCTTCACTGAGCAGGGAGTAGGACGCGATGGCCTTAGAGGCCCTTCCAACTCCCTGATTCTATGATTCTTCTTTTCTACTGTCCATTTGAAGAAAATTATACAAAAGTCTCTTTGTATACTGTACTTTTCAACCCATCCTCTTTAGCAAACAAAGAAGACAGTTCTATGGTTATAGCGCAGAGGGTGCAGGAAATCTGTCTGTTTTAAAGCATTGGTCAGAACAGAGGCAGTTATACTTCACGCCTCTCTCAAACCCTCTTCTCTTTAAAATTGTTCATTCTCACCTTACCTTTTTTCAGGTGAGGATGTATTGGCTATGGATATAGGTCCAGCACATTCAGGGAATTCTGTTCCAGCAACCCTAAATTTTCAGTGTTGCACAACTGCATCTGCATGTCATTGAAGGGCCACAGTTTGACTTGGGCTCGGATCTCATGTGGATTGTAAAGGAATGGCCAGAATCCTCTTAATGAGTTATACCGGTACTAATGCAATGGCATAAACTGCAGTGGTAAATTTCCCAAAGTTAACAAGTTGCTCCTTGTATACCTTCTTGAACACCCATTGGACAAACAGGTGGACAACAAGGTGCAGAAGCCCACAGAATTGTGGAACGCGGAGGATGGATTTAGCCAGCTTTTAATCTTTAACAAGCCTATGGTTTTTGAGGGATGGTGGATTATCTTTCTTTTCAGGCCGAAAAGAATATCTGCCACTTTGCATTTCAGGACTTCCTGATGCTCGAATCTAAAAAGCATTTGCATTTACACCGAGGGAGGCTCAAGTTTAACAAATTCTGGATTGGACTAAAGTACGAACGAAGCATTGGGAAATGGGTGTGGGTAGATGGCTCTGTCCTGAAAGTCAAACGGTAAGTCCATGCCTCAAGGGCACCAAGAAGAAGATGACTAGAGATGGGGCATGAACCTTGGTCCGGAGATCCGGCCCAACTGGGCACTGAGCTCACACAGGTCTTTTGTGCGCAAGGCGCGCCCTCCTGCCTTCCCTGAAAGCTCCCGACCGTATCCTTCCCTCCCCACCTCCCCAGTATCAGTTCCCACTCCCAGAATGCTCTTCCCTCTTCCACCTTCCCCGTCGGCCGCCCCCTCAAAGGCAGCACGGCAGGAATCCTTGTCCTACCTCCTCGTTGGAGGAGGTGGCCGATGGAGAAGACGGAAGCGCATGCTGCAAAAGGTGAGTGGGTCGTTGCCCTGGGGAGGCAAGGAGGGTAGCGTGCATTGCCCAAGAAATGGGTGAGCGTGCAGGGGAGGTGGGAGGGGAAGCGCACCACGCCAGCACAACACCTGTGCAGTTTTTTGGGGTTCATGGCAGTCTCTAAAGATGACTCACGCTGTTCCTTTTTGCTGAAGCATGGTAGTGGAGATAAATAGTCATACCTGGACAGGACAACTAGGTTCAAATGCCCACTGTCTTGGGAATCTCTCTCTCTCTCTCTCTCTCTCTCTCTCTGTGGGGGGGGGGCTGATGAGCTATGTGAGTTTGCAGCAATTAAAAAGAAATGCAAAACTTCCCTCCTTTCCCTTCCAAAGGTGAGCAGCAAGGAACTTTTCTGTTTCTGAAGATCATTCAGCGGCTTCCTCCTCCATGTTTTGCCTAAGCTGCTTAACAATCTTGAGAAATAGGAAGCTTTCCCTTTAAAGGCAAAGTTCAGACTCAATCGTACTGAACAGGGTCGCTTTAGATGTGGCGTGGTTGATCCTTTCACATGGGTGCAAAGGTGGCCCCAAATGATGTACCGCACCTCACAGCAACCCTGCTTTGCATGATCTCAACCAAACCAGGCCAAGATAATTTGGCTCTCTCTGTGGGTCCTTAAATCACTGATGTATCCATCTCTTGGACATTCTCACAGAACAATCGCCCCCTCCTGAAGCTTGGGTGAAAGAAAGATAGTAGATTTGGGGGCCCGATAGACTTCCCAAGAGACAGATTTCTACCTACAGGAATTCCACAACCAAAGAAGCCTTTTCTCCTCCTTGTCCCACCACAGGCAACAACAGCAGAATCACAGTGGCTGCATGTACCTTCAGAATGGGGAGTTTCATTCCCAAGAGTGCAGTCAACCCGCGTTTATACTTTGCAAGGCAAAGGTCCAACCTGGCTGGAACTGAACAGTTTTGCAAAGTTGAGAGGAGGAGGAGGAGGAGGTGGAGGAGATCATCCCCCACAGAGGTCAGCAGCGGGTGACCCTCCACTCTGGCTCCTCCTGAAGACTTTTGGCACCCATAGAGAAATCTCTTGCCCAGCTGTTTAAGAGAAGCATTTTTATTTCTCGGAACCCACCAAAGGCCTGAGAGACTTGTCTGCAGATGGTAGCTCCTGGAGAGGGGCAAGGGAACCTCTCAACTAAAAATCACCAGCATCCTCGTCATCTTTAAGGGATTGTTTTAGCTCTTGAATAGCATCCCAAGATTTCATATGTAAGTCAATAATTCTACCTGGAGTTGTGCACAGTAATTACTAAAAGGAACACTTTCCCCAGGACCTCCTTGTCAGAGGGCCTTCTCCGTTCTTGCCCTCCCCTTCATAAGCAAGGTAAGCCATAACGGGAGAGTAGCTATTTCTGGTTGTGGCACCCTACACTGTAATCCACAGATAAGCACAGCCACCCAACCCTGCACCACAGAGACGTCTTGGCTGAAGAAAGCTCATGTAATTTCCCCCATGCCTTTAACTTGTGACTTGAGATTCTTTTTTCTCCTGAGTTTTCGCTCTGTGTTGAGATTCCATGTTTTTTGTTTTTTGTTACCGCTTCCAAAATGGGTTGTGATTTTATCACTATTGCATTTTTAGTCATGCTGTGATAAACGGTGCTAAGGCCACTCTATCACCTGTCAACATGAATAAAGGATTGTTATTACTGTATTTCAAGCTGAGGCTCCAATCCTTTGGCCATCTCATGAGAAGAGAAGACTCTCTGGAAAAGACCCTGATGTTGGGAAAGTGTGAAGGCAAGAGGAGAAGGGGACGGCAGAGGACGAGATGGTTGGACAGGGTCATCGAAGCGACCAACATGAGTTTGACCCAACTGTGGGAGGCAGTGGAAGACAGGAGGGGCTGGCGGGCTCTGGGGGCATGGGATCACGAAGAGTCAGACACGACGTAACAACTAAACAACAACATTACTGTATTTCAAAAGTGGTTGGGGCTGCAAGTTTAGGTGTCTGTGGCTAGGAAATTTATGACTAAAGTAAGACCTTAGCTGCAAATTTGTCTGCTTCCCAAGAGATATAATTTTCTCCTACAAAATGTAGAGAAAGAAACTAGAGGAGCCGGGTATCCTTGAGTCTAAGCAGTAGAGATGACTTGGTGGATGAAGTGGCAGGAAGAGGAATTGGGGGGGAAGTGACCGTGTTTTACCTGAGGTCTTGATCTCAAAGAAAAGAAAAGCAGAATCTAGCTGCACACGTATACGCTGGACTTTCGGAAAGCCAATTTTAATAAGCTCAGAACAAGGATAAGTAAGATCCCACGGCAGGAGATCTTAACCAGAAAAGGAGTCCAAGATGGGTGGGAATTACTTAAAACAGGAATTGTAAAGGCACAACTACAAACAATTCCAACAGGAAAAAAAAAGGAGGGAGACAGCAGACAAGACAAACATGACTTCGCAAAAAGCTCAGAGAGGACCTGAAATTTTTTTTTAAAGGTTACATATAGGGAAAGGAAGAAAGGACAGGCGACAAAGGAAGAGTAGAGACAAGTAGCAAAGAATTGTGGGGAGGGTGTTAGGAAGGCAAAAGCTGAGAATGAGCTGAAGTTAGCAAGAGATCCTAAAAGCAACAAAAAAGCATTCTTCAGGGATGTGCATAGCAAGAGACAAAGAAAAGAAATAGGTGGGAGCTGGATAGAATAGCTATCAGATGGATACCCAGTTTGTTGCAGGATTGTACTCAGAGAGTGCTCGTCATTGTCTCCTTCTCATACTGGAAGGAGGTAACAAGTAGGATGCCAAAAGGATTAGTCCTGGGCCCGTGGCTCTTCAACTTTTTCCATTAATGACTTGGATAAGGGGATACAGGGAGTAGTGATCAAATGTACTAATGACAAAAAAAGATGAAAAAGCTAATACTGTACCTTGGAAGACAGGAACAAAATTCAAAAATATTTTGATAGGATTTGAGCACTGGACTGAAAACGGCAGAATGAAATTTAACACAATAAGTGTTAAATACTGGGGGGGGGACTGAATTTCACAGTTAAAAGTGGGGGATACTTGGCTCAGTAAAACTAGGAGTGAGAAGGATCTTGGAATTGTAGATCAAAATCTGAATATGAGCCTACAGTGTGCAGTGGCTGCAAAAAAGAACAATGCTGTTCTAGAATTCATTAGCAGAAGTATGATCTCCAAATCCTGTGAAGGACTAGTCCTGTATTCAGCACTAATTAGGCCTTATCTAGGGTACTGTTATGGGACGTGGTGGTGCTGCAGGTTAGACCGCAAAAGCCTCTGGGCTGCAACATCGAAAGATCAGGAGTTTGAATCCACATGACAGAGTGAGCTCCCGTCGCTTGTCCCAGCTCCTGCCAATTTAGCAGTTCGAAGGCATGTAAAAATGGGAATAGAAAAATAGGTACCACCTCGATGGGAAGGTCATGGCGTTCCGTGTCTAGTCGCGCTGACCATGTGACCACGGAAACTGTCTATGGACAAACACTGGCTCTATGGCTTGGAGACGGGGATGAGCACCGCGCCCTAGAGTCGGACACAACTGGACTCAAGGTCAAGGGGAACCTTTTCTAGGGACTCGATGGCCTTACAGCTGGCCCTCCCAACTCCATGGTGCCATGATTTTCTATCTCTAAGCTGCTCATGGGTTTCCCTACTTCGTATTTTGTGTTGTGCACCAGCCACCCCTTCCCATGCACTGAGTTATGCTCTCAGTGGTTCTGTACGTCTCCAGCGTGCAAGGTCAGGAGCGCGCATATCTCCAGTGAAATCTCCACAAAGCTCCTAAACATCAATGATAAAATTAAAACGTTTTTGCAAACTAGCAAGAGGTTTATTCAAGAAAGCGGACTGTAAAGGTAGCATATCCGTGGCATACCCAGATCTTCCCGATGCCTTTATTACACCGAAGACTTACAGATGTAAGCCCTGGCTTTATTGCAACATCCGACATGAAATGTCCTAAAATCTGAAAGACAGCAGTAAAACAGGATCAGAGATGCTACCTTACTGGAACGCTCTTCATTTCTTAACGACAGAACTCTTTCTGGTTCCTTTCGTTCCCTCGCCCTTGAGCCCCTTCTGCCCCCTCAGTTGCCGGACTCAGGTGAGCAGAGCAGCTCCTTACCTGTTGCCCTGGACAGGTAGGCGCAAAAGAACCCTTTCCCTTTCATTTTGTCTTTATCTGCACTCCAAGGCTTGAAGTTGAATGGATTCGTGTCAGTCCATGCCCAGCGGTCCGTCTGACACCAAGAGTTTAAAAAAAAGAGATTATTCCCGTTTGCTGGGCTCAACATGCAAACCCACATGCTTTCCAAGAATTTAGAGAAAATGCACGGAAGGGCATCAGAGTTGGAGAGGGTGGGAGTCCCAGCTCCCAATGCCCGGGCCCCTGGGAGATACCTTTTATGCTAAGGCAGGTCCAGCAGGGGGCGCCTTTTGTTGTCCCAGCATCCCTGAACCATGGCCTTGGCCCTTCTGGGACCACCCACCCACCCGCATGATGTTGGAAGGAGGCTCCTTTGAGGCTCCCCCAAAAAGTGTCCCAATGTTCCCCCCCCCCCGGGAACTCTTTCTGCATCCTCTCCAGAAATGCAACAATTTTTTTTCTCCTGTAAAGAGAGAAGAAACTGGAAGTTCAAACGACAACAACCAGACCTCTCATCCATCCCCCCCCCCCAAAAGGAAGCCCCTGCCCTGTGATTTAGAGAAGAATCTTCCTTCAAGGAGAAATGAAATACACGTCTCTTCACTGGGCGGCAGGCGGGTAGGGGTTGGCTCGTTGAATTTCTACCCTGCCTTTTCTCCCCTGCACATCAGGTAAAATCCAAAGCAACAAAACAAATTAAAAAAAAAGTTGTGGCACCTTAAAGAGTAACTATTAGACATTTGAATGTGAGTTTCCGTGGATTAAGTCCACTTTTGTCAGACAGATGGAAAAAGAAATGAAATACTGGATGAAACACCAATTAAAGAAGTAAAATGTACCAAATATTCATTGGCTTCTAAGAGTCTTGGGTGTTGGGCGTCATCTTATCTGCCGTGATTTACGGCCTAGGTTGGGGGGTTAGGTTGCAAACATTCTGCCAGGAGACTGAAAACAGGTGCGAGCTTAAAAACCCTGTAAAGTTCAAATCTTCACCAAGAGGTTTTCCCCCTTTTGCACTTTTGGGGAGGAGGCCAAGCACTCATGGCCGAGCACTCACCTTGCGGGAATCATGCAGTCCAATCCAAAGTTCCTGCACGTCGGGGTGATTGTTCTTAATTTTATTAGATAAGATTCTTAGCTCAGTATCTTTGTGGATGGAGGCAAGGTGACCTCCATTCCCTTTGATCTGACATTCTGCCTAAAGGAGAGAAAGAAGGGCTGGTTTACCTACCTGGATTAGCTCACTTTCTCTCTTTTTTTCTCTCTCATCCCCTTCTTTTAGCAGAAGACAAAAAGTTAGTTCCTGCCGCTCACAAAGTACTGTACTCCACCCAGCATGTTGAGATTTTGATATGAAAATATATTAAATGTCAATGTTGTATAGTTAAATGTATAATGGCTGATTTTACCTGAGTCACTGTACCGATTGTGTTCAGGGGGTGGGTATCAAGGATTAAGACTTCATGTTGTACAGCTGTGTACATGATGAAACTTGGTGTAACAGAAAATGAAGACATGTGTTCTCTGATGGGTCACAGAACTGTCCATAAGTCATGTGTAAAATGAACATCTTTATCTGCTGAAAGTCAGATCATTTTTTCCTATGCTGTGTGTTGCTTCATGTCATGTCATGCTGCCAAAGGAATGTCTGTTCTCTATGTATATATGTTAATAGACTAAATGGTTGGTTTTACTCTGTCAGTGTCATAGTGTCATAAGTATCTCTACTAACCAGTATAATCAACCATAAGTCATGTGTAAAATGAACATCTTTATCTGCTGAAAGTCAGATCATTTTTTCCTATGCTGTGTGTTGCTTCATGTCATGTCATGCTGCCAAAGGAATGTCTGTTCTCTATGTATATATGTTAATAGACTAAATGGTTGGTTTTACTCTGTCAGTGTCATAGTGTCATAAGTATCTCTGCTAACCAGTATAATCAGCGTTATAATCAACATTCTCAACAGGCTACTCTGATGGCTGGGGTATTCCGGAAATCATAGTCTACATTTTGCACATATATATGTTCAAAAAAATCCCCATCTCTAGATTCATTTATTTGTTTACTGAGGAAAAGGTTTATATCACACTGCATACCAAAAGAGAACTAAGCGGGGTAAAGGAAATAAAAGAATGCAAAACAATTTAGAATGACTTAGAAGAATGTAAAACCCATGACGATGTGTCGGTATTTGGTTTTTTCTGAAAAAGAAGAGGTGATGGAGTTGGCATCGCCAATATGTGTCGGCCACTGAAGCGTATCAGAGAATCTCAGAAGAGAATAAGTGTATGCTTTGGAGATTGTAGAAGGAATTGGACTGCATTGACCATGAGGAATTAGGGGTGGTTCTAAAAGAAATGGATGTGCCACATAGTCCTGATGCCTGGCCTATACTCTGGGCACGATATTAGTGTCACAGGCAGAATAGGGAGGAACGGAACGGTTTCCCAAAGGCAAAGGTGTCAGACAAAGGCATGCAAACATTTTTCTCCCTGTCCATCAGCTTAGTGAGTTAGGTCTCTGGCTGCAGAGCCACAGGCTGGCGGTTCAGTTCCCCACGGGGCCCCTCCCCTGGAGAGGACCTCGTCTGTGTCACCCTGGGCAAGCTGCACACCTCGGGGGTGACTCCAGAAGGAGAGAATGGTGAAGCTCTTCTGAGGACCCTCCACCAAGAAAACCCTGTGAAAGGTCCCCAAAAGACTTGGCAGCACAGAATCGTTATTATTACCTGTTCAATCTCTATGCAGACCGTGTTGTATAGAAAGACAAAGGCAAAGTGGAAAAACGGGTGGAAGGAATATCACTCATTTAAGATATGCCAATGGCATCATCTTACTGGCAGGAAGCAACAAGGACTTGAAGCAACTATTGCAGAAGGCTGAAGAGGTCGGGGGCAAAAGCTGGTTTGCAGCTAAGACAAAAGTCATTGTGACTACAGAAGAACTGCAAGAGGGCCCTGTTGGCCAGATGTTTCTCCCCGTTCTGCCCCAAGAGATACCCTGCCAGCTCTACAGCCACTGCTTACTTCGGCATCTGTCCACTGGATTGGGGATTCCATGACTCCGAAGCACAAGTCCTCATATTCCATCCAGTGCTTTGGGCAGTCCAAACCTTCAGAACCTACCCAGGGGAGAGAGCAGGACATGGTTAGGGATGATAATATGAATGGGAGAGAAGCACAAAAGCTAGAACCATAGATAAGGGATCATTGGATCATAGCACCACCACCCCGCAGATATGGGCGTCCTGCTCTACTTCATGGGTCCATGTTTCAGCAGACACGGTCCTGGTACATTCTTTCCCCGCTAAAGGTCAGGTAAAGAAAGGAAAGTATCTTTAAATATTGTTATCACACAGTTTGTTTGCTTTTTGAAATTAATTTTGAAAGCCTTCTTCCTGATTAAGCCAGGGAGAGTTCAACTCTGCAAATGTATTTTCTTAGGGTGTATTTTCCATTCAAGGCTGACAATCTCTTTTCTGACGAAGCATGCCAGAGGTTGCACTTTGAATCTTGGTTCTCACCCTTCGGCTACCATCAAGGAGTGAGGAGCAAATTTCCGGAGAGGGCAGGAGGGACTCACCTTGCAGAAAGAAGTGAATGACCAGAAGGGAATGAAGGAATACGCCGAGGGCCTCCATCGCAACACCTTTAGGAAGAGGATAGAAAAAGAGCCTTCTAAGAGGCAGCCGTGGAATAAAGAACTCGTCCAGAACATTTCCCTCGTTCCGGGTACAAAGTTAGATAACCACGCATCTCAGAAAGCTATCTGTTTGGTTTGTAATAAGCAAGAACATTTTAGGGTGAGCCAGTCCAGGACTTACAGTTTCTTCTATTCTCTTTTGATAATATATTCAAAGTTCTCAAGGAAAATCCAAAGAAACTAAACTAAAAATATTTTAAAACCTATAGCACCTTAAAGACTATTATATTTTTAATGTGAGCTTTCATGGACATGTCCACTTCATCAGACTTTTTTTCCCCTGTATGTCTGAGGAAGTGGACTTGTCCACGAAAGCTCACATTAAAAATATAATAGTTAATCTTTAAGGTGCCACATCTTTTTAAATGTTGTACTGAAGAGAGATTTGAAGAATACTTGATTTCTCCCCTTTGGTATGAGGACAAGATAAGGACACTTCCCCCCAACAACCAAATGTCCACAATTTGTACAACATATCACTTTGCAAAACTGTACCTTTTTTTTTCCAAAAAAGAAGGAAAGCAAACAGAGAGAGAGAGAGAGAGAGAGAGAGAGAGCAGAGAATAACAATTGGGCAATTGTTCAAAAAGACACAAGCAACCCATCTGGAGCTTCTGATTCTGAAAAGTCCATGAAACAAGGCAGCAACAATTGCAATTTTGCACACTTAGCATCATTTGTGCAAAAATTGTTCACACCAACACGAACATTTCTATTGAGATTAACCAAAAATATCTGGGCCCCTGTGTAGGTGAAGGAGAAACATTTTCTGGTGTGCTGTTCTTGCATACAAGAAAGAGCCAAGCTAGGACTTCTCTCCTTACCGCAGTCCCTGGAAATACCCAAAATGCTTTCCTTGCCTTTGAGACCTGCAAAGGATGCCCTGAAAGGGGGATGGGGCTGCGTTTTCTTTCTCCATTCCCTCATATTCTCCTTACTCATTCGATTGGGGAACAAAATCAAATCTATGTTTTTGTTTTTAAAAATGCATTTTTTTAAGAAAAACAAAACAATGGTTAATGATCCAGTGTTGTCTGATGAAGTGGACTTGTCCACGAAAGCTCATGTTAAAAAAATATAAAAGTTAGTTTTTAACATGCCACCACATTTTTGTCTTTTTAAAAACTCTTTAAAACTTTTTTTAAAAAATGTCTTCTAAAAAACCTTTTTTTAAAAAAATGTTTTTGCCTATTATCTATAACTGAATGTCCAACAGAGTTAAAACATGTTATGGGATTCTGAGCCGGGCATACGAAACACCTAGTGATATTAGGTTTACCATTGGTTCTTAAACAGTTTCCATTGGTTCTTAATCATTTTTGTAAAATAACTTTCCCCTGCCTGGGTGTAGTTGCTCAAGTGCAGGAAAATCCACCCCATGTTCAAGAGCAACTCTTCAGGTGCCTTTAAAGTGTCCGCCCAAGGACCTCCAGGGTCCAAGAGATGTAAACCATGCAAGATACTCACTCCACCAACGTCCTGTCAGATCAGCTGGTCTTGAACTGATGGCCAGGTTTCTTGCTTTTCCACAGGACCATGACTCCTCTTTGCTATTTATACCGTTAACGAGTCCCAAGAGGTGCCTGCGGGTCATGGAGTCACCCAGTAGATTCACTCAACTGGAAAGCCTGCTTAGATCCTTTCGACTAGGAAGTTCCACTGCTGAGCAATGACCCAGGTAACAGTCATTTTGACCATCTAGCAAATGGCAAGCCCGTAGCTATTAATATTCTATATTAACTCATGTAAATCATTGCTAGGAAACATAATTTTTCGGGGATAGATACAGCCAAGTGGAAGAGTAAGTGCTCTCAATAGGCACAAGGTCCCACGGTCCCTCCTCAGAGGGCTGAAAATATCCCCACGGAAGTCGTGAAGACCAAGACCTAATGCAATATGGAGCTGATGCGATGACATGAATGTCGAGAAGGACAAGATAGACTAATAGGGATGGCTGGGTAGCTTTTGGGGTCTCCATTTTGAATTAGAAACTCTTCCAGACCAACATTTCTTCCCCTTTAAGTACTGGTTTCTGCCCTGAAGTTACTGGTGTTTTCCCTCCATCATCCACACAACGTTCCTCTCATTGGTTTTGCCCAGTGCTGATCCTTTTAATTTCTCCTGAAAGCATAGTTGATCTTTAATATCAGCCTGAGTTAAGCCTTAACTATTTGCAATGGAAGCTTTCAGTTAGCAGTGAAAAGGCACCCCCCCCCCGGAGTGGGTTCTCTTTATTAAGAGAAATGACTTTCTTAAAAACCAAGAGAAGTCATTTTTTAAGAGACGGATTTACCTAAGCAGTCTCTCAGCAACGAGGAACAGAAAAATAGGGGGGGAATGCTTTGTCCGGAAAGGTTCTCAGGGACATCTCCGGTTTCTTGCAGTTTGGACGTTGGGACCATATTACAAGGAGAGGTGCTACTTAAGAGACCAGCCAATGGCTTTCAACACTACAGATCTATGAAACCAACAGATGCAGAGGCTGAATTTCAGTCATGGAAGCAGGATGACATCTGAGCAAGCTGTTCTTCTCAGGACCACAGCAGACACAACAGGTGAAATCCAGGAGTAAGTCACAGCTAGAGTGTAGGCCTGCCGGACTGTCTCACCAGATCCACACTGATTCAAAGGGTCTACTCTAGTGCCACTTAGAGATGTAAAATTTCCGGAAATTTTGAAGAACAGCTTTGGGGAAAAAATGGAAATATTTTCCCCCCAATTTTTCTGATTTTTTTCCAAAGCTGTTTTATATGGCTGCAAATTTTTCGGAAATTTCCCATCTCTAGACTGGATTTCAGCCATTATCAGACTAAAAAGTGCTTTGTTTTGCTCAAGGATAGTTACCATATTTTTCACACTTTTCCCCCACAAAACAGGGGGGTGGAAAGTCTGTGCGTCTTATGGAGCGAAGAAAACAGATTATATTTTCCTGTTTTCTTCTCCTAAAAAATTAGTGCGTCTTATGGAAAGGTGTGTCTTATGGAGCGAAAAATACGGTATTTCTTGATAGTTCTGCTCATAGACTCCCAAGGCACATTTTGTTTGTCAACGTGAAAGACAAAAATAGACCTCTTGGTTCAATGGAGTCATTCTGTTCTTATGTTCGTATGTACAGTACTACTAATAAAAGTCGAGGACCATGTAGGTGTGAAAGTGGAGGTAAAAAGATGGTAATTTTGGGGAAAGAAATGCCTTCAGTTATTTCTGAGGCATTTATTTAGCTATCTAAATGTCTTTGCACATTTTCCAAATGTTCTTGGCTACTTCCAAACCAACAAGAGGCCCTCAAAACCTGCAATCTCCTTTAGAAAGCTTTCTTCTGAATGGCACAAAACTCTTCCCCATCTTTAATCAGAAATTCCCTTCATCCCAATCAAAGACTTTTTTTCTACTCCTCAGAGTCGTTCAGAAGGCAGTTTCTCCTGTCTCCTTATGACTTCTGTCCGGTTGTCTTCCAGAATCTACACACTTGTCTCCTTTTTGCCTTTTTAGGGCCTTTTCCTGGGTAACACACCCTAAAATGTATCAATTTGTGTGCCATGCATTCATGCGGATGATCCCTGCTCAGTTTCTGGTCTATGAAATTCCTAAAGAGATGAATGGTTATCTTTCCATCAGCACTTATTGTTCCGAAACTTTGTTTCTTACGGAAATCTCTCCATGTTCTAGAAGAAATGTTCAAATTTACTCAGCGTTTCCAATGCTGGTTACTAATTTGGTGAGATTCCAAAAACACAGCATGTATTAATATAGCCACTGGGCCTGAAATAACTGAGAACATGGTCATCTTTCCATTCTGTTGTTCTGATGTTCCCATATAATTTGTACAGCACGGAAAAGTTCAAAAAAGTGCAACTGAAATTAACAAGGGGGTGAAGCAACGCCATGGTGATCAACGACTGCCACGGTGGAGAATTTTAGCCTAAGCCATTAAGTTACTCTCAGTTATGGGTCACCCTAGGAATTGATATCATGGGGGATTTTAAAAAGATAAACTTGCTTAAGCTATGATATATTACAACCACAGCGTCCCCCTGATCTACCAAGCTTAGATCTGCCACAAGAAAGAAAGGGAAACATTTACCTGTCTGTGGTCTTTGGGGATTTCATCTATCCTCCAACAGACCTTAATGATAACCGACAGAGCCTTTGAAGTTGGAAGCTGTGTCCTGTGTTGTTCTGTAACGATCCTCATGCTTTTCCCCTCCACCCAATATCTGCATCATCTCTGCAGTTTTACCATTGTTTTTACTTTGCAATAACAACTCAGCCATTTTTGTTAGGTAATGTGGCCATAGCTGCCCCTCTATATGGGGTAGGGTGGGGGGCATGCAGGGGAAGAAATACGTGTTGCTGTTTTGAGCGTGTAAGGGCTTACCTATTACTAATCGCCTATTAAGACTGGGTGAGGAGAGAATAATCTGAGAATGACAGAGCTGGAAGGGATCCCTGTGGATCCTCAGATCTAGTCCCTCTCAAGGAGCCCTGGTGGGGAATCAAACCCCCAACCTCTGGCTCTACAGACAGAGACCTAAACCACCCAGCTATCCAGCAGCTCATTAAGGATAATTGTCATCATCGTCTTAGAACTGCAGGGCAAGAAGGGACCCTATGGGCCATCCAGTCGAGCCCCACTCAAGGAGGCACCGAGGGGGGAATCGAACTCCCAACCTTGGGCTGCGCGGCCAGATGTCTTAAACCACCGAGCTGCGCAGCAGAAGAGACACAGTTCAGAGTCACGTGGCAGAAGAATGGCAGGGATTCTGCAAGAGCAGCACACGGTCTGTGGGGGGATTTCACCTCCCTATCTCCGCCTGAGACACCCTCTCTCCTCCACAGCCAGCTTATGCATTTCCCCTCTGGAAACGCCACAACGACTTAACATTCGGAGACCAGCTTGGTCGAAGAAAGGGACCACCGCCAGGTGGAGGTGTGTTTTGCATCTTCTCTTTGGCGGCCCCACGCCTTACTCTGTCCCCAACGCCCTCCTCCCAACACTGAGCCACAAGCCCTCCTTAGATCAGGATGAGTGCCGTGGAGAAGTGGGCTCCTGCTTCCTAGTCGTGGGAGCAAAGCCCTGCCTAAAAGCAACAGGACCTTCTTTGCACTCAATAATATGCCAATCTGTTCTGCTCGAGGTCCTGCCTGTTCAAAACTCTGGCAACCCTGTGGTTCTTTTGCCTCTCGTGCTCGTTGGTTTGACAGATTATCTCGTTAAAAAAAAAAATTCTCTGCCTGCCAGAGGCCATGAGAGAAAATAACCGAACACCTTAAGGAAGAGGCTGTTTTTGGAAAAAGAGGATTCATTGCCAGATTTGGTCACGTTGTGCTTATTTTACTTTTTTTAATGGAAGATTTGTTTCAAATGGGAAGTTTCGTAATGGATCTTGAATCCGTTACATCATGTCCAGCATGGGCCATTCTCGGCTCTCCTTGCCTGCCCATATGTTATGGTTAAAAAACAACAACCCCAGAACGTTGCCGTTGTGCTTCACTGAAATCAGAAAGACATGAGAAGGCAGCTTTGCCCTCTGAAGGTGCTAAAATTTTATGTCTTCAAAGACCCGATGTTTTTTTAAAGTGGCCGTGAGTCCCCCTGTCCATCAAGTATTTGTTGCCGGCTGCAAGGCATGGGTCAGGAAGGAGTCAAGGACGGGCCTCGGAGGTCAAGAAGGCTCTCCTGCGCTTCTTTCGACCATTGTGAATTCTCTGTAACTTGCTAGGTTTGACTCTTCCTAGCAAAAACAGACCCTGCAGGTCATTCATGACTTGGGTGCTTCCAGGTTAGACTGTTGCAAAATGCAGTAGTCTAACCTGGAAGCTCGTGCAAGCCAGACTCACCGGGTGCCTCAGGCTGAACGTAAGGAGGGTCACCCCATCTGTCTCTGGGTAGAGGAAAGACAGGTCGGGGGGCATTCCGGTCACACACGGCCTCTCTTCTCCCACTACTTAGAATATCGAGAGATCTTATTTTACGTCGTGGCTGGGAACTTGCCCACACCCTGCGGGCACAGGAGGAATGTAAGGCTGCAGGTCCCCCGCAGGTGATGGGCACGAAGAAGTGGGAGCTCGGAGCTTTGCTAGCGGGAAGCAGGGAGGGAAAACCGGGAGACCGAGCCCCGAACGAGGAAGAGATTTGCTCACCGGTCCATTCATCTCCTTCATCAAGCAAGATATGACCTGTTTGCAAGCAATGCATCAAGAAATACCTCTGAGCAGACTTAAGAGTAGGAATTCCCCGATGCAGGGTGACCTTTGGAAAATGCAAGCGAGAAGAAATCAGCATCTGTGCAGTTTTAGGTATATAAAAGACACAAAAACACACCCTGCATTCCAACCATGATTAAACTCAATGCTATTAAGGAGGCATGGTTTTCGGAGTGAATTGATCCGATATCTCTCAAGATCGGGGAGCACACCCTGGGTGGAGGGACCTTTTCAGTCACTTTAGCCTGTCTGATCAGAGCCATACGCCCGGGAGACTGGGCCAAGCAACAAAGGGGAAAGCAGGATATTCATCCCAGGAAGACCACCTCTCTCTTGATTTCATGTCTTACACTGTTCGGTTACACCAGGGCGAACGCTCAATATTTTAAAATGGAGGGTGGCTGCTTGAGATGATGGAGCAGACAAAGGGTGCATTTCCAGGATCTGTCCAGCTGGTGTCACCAGACAGTCTCATTCAATGTTCATTAATGCACTTTTATTTATTT